AAGCTACGTGAAAATAGTACGGATAATCCCAAACTACATGTATTCTGTGTTGTGCATTCGGTGAGTCCTTATTTTGTGATGAGGACATCTTGACATGGTTTAATGGGATTTGTAGGATGCGTTTTTGGCAATACTTCATGTGCATGAAATCAAACAGATCAAAAATAATTGGCTAGCACTCCGAGTGCCAGTGCGAAGATGTATTTTTCGCACAGATCCCTGCAGATTTTTATCGCTAATGATACTATTTTTTCCAGCAGATGCTTGTAGCTAAAGAACTGAGACTGGCCACCACGATTCTTAGAAAACAACTCCTTAAATTTGCAGCTTTCTAGCTTTTCTAGTCCCCCAGTTAATAGCTTATCCGTCAAAAAATTTCACGAGCCTATACGTGAGAACCTCGCATACCTAGGAGCTAGATTTGAAGTCATTAGGATTTACATGGACGGGAGGATCCCCTCCGGATTTTAGCTTTCTAGCTTCTCTGTTTCGTGAGTTAGCAGTTTTTCCAGCAAAACTTTCACGTGCCCGTGCGTCAGATTGATAAGCACGCGAAATTTGATTCGACATTCCTGGGATACACGCATCCCTGCATTTCCAGGAATACGTAAAAGCACATAAAACCCGTAAAAAAGACGGTCTGCCGTCTGGATGGCCCTTCACTTTTGGCATCATCTTCCACTTTTTACAATAATATCACTTGGCACGAAGAGGCATTCGGCGGGGAGAGAAGCTGACGAGAAGAGGCATCTGACGAGAAGGCACATCTGGTAGGGGAGGACATCCGGCAACAAGAAACACTTGGCAGAGAGAGACATCTAAAGACTTTTGGCGCGAACATAAGGCTGGTAAACAGCCGAAGATAGTACCAGCGAAAAGGAGCGGGGGTGGGAGGAGGGGGAGGAATGGGGGACCGTCTAACCAACTTTTGCGAAATAATTCAAAGAAAATGCGGAGCAAACGAGTGGTACCAAGCACAGCGTGACGCCAAAGGACCATGTAGAATCAAATGTGAAAAATTTTATTGAAATTCTACAATAAAACCGAGTCCGAAACAACGGTTGAATTGACGGATATTGAAACAATAAGAGACGGATAATCGCGCATTTGACTCAGATCACTGAAACCGCTTCTGTTTGCTCCACTTCGAACGCCCTGGCCACTGGCACAGTTCTGCAATATGCCCATCCGAATGTCCCTGGCCTTGTGTTTTCGCTATTTTCACTGTGCACCAGCGCTTGGACGTAGTCGAATCCATCAGAGCCAGTTTCCTTGGTACCCGGGGCCCACTTCCAAGCACTCGACAAGTTGAGAGAACACGCACATCACCTGCTTGTCCGGATTCTTCCCGTGGGCAGCCGCCGACTGTCTTCAGCTGCTTCTCCTTCTGCCCTTTTCTTCCAGCCACCCTTCAGACCGGCAAACAAAACGAGAACGGCAAACACTGATTTGA